TGCACACCCTCCCCCTTATAGTACCTTAATGCTACCTTGCAGACATGAAAAGGTTGTAGATTAGAGGTGTGACAAGATCTTTTTGCTTTCTCAGTTTGTTTTCCTGTGTTTGTGCATCTTGACAGTGGGTGAAGTTGCATCAGTAACTTCTGCTGTATCTGGAGTAATGCTGAGTAAAATTTCTAGACAGCTGAACTTTAAAACAAAGTAATTGCCCTGCCAGGAGATCATAGATGTTCCAATAAGTCATGTTGCAGCAGAGGCATGACTGAAAACCAGAACTCAAAAAAACAAAAACAAACAAACAAACAAAAAAAAGACGAAATCCATTCTGAACTATTAAGTCATCTTGGATGAGTAATAAAACATCTTTGGACCAAACAGCAGGTTTGTTTGCCTTTGTCTAAATACCTCTAGTTGACTGACAGAACTTCTGTAGATTCAAGAAACTTCCCTTTGAACATGATATTAATGACCAGAAGGACACTGCAAGAAGTCCATAATGATGGTTGTTGCACAGACCCCAAGAGTAGCTGACAGGACACATCATTAACTTGATGTTTGTTGGTCTTTCTAGCTTGGTACAAGCTGTCACCCATTTATGATGGTGACAGCTTGTACCAAGCTGTCACCATCATAAATGGGGAAGGGTTCTCGGCTGAATTTGAGAAATGTAAGACCCCAACATAAAGCGGCAGGGAATGGTTGATTGTGGATGGTGCTGCCCATACTCATACAAAGGAGAACTGGCTTTACTCCTATTTGAGCAAAATCTGTGCAACAAGATGACTGTAGGTCTACCAAGTTACTTCTCTGACTTATTTAACGTGTTACATTATAGAGTGCTGTAGCAGTAAGTTCAAAATCCTAGAACTGAGTTAGCATTTTTGTACTTATGGTTCCTTCGCCCTGAAGTTGATGGGTTTTTGGTTAGATGCTTGAAATAAGGTTTATGGTTCACACAAGGCCAACAACTAATTGATAATAAAAATAGTTGGCCACAAATTTAATTATTGATTAGTTGGGTCTAGTCCTGTAGCTGTGTGAGACAGGTGGGTCAGCGACTAGTGACTGTTAGTGAGGTGAATCAAAACATGACTCATATCCACTCACCCTATCTGTGTCCCGATGCAGACGGACTCTTTCTTTCTGTCACTCGGTATGCGATCTAAACACTACCTCTCTTGGAGAAACAGCACTACTGCCTTTTATGGTCAGATGCAGCAGCAGGCCTTTACACACACACAGCCTCCCATTTCTTGGAAACAATTTACCTACCCACTTTTTAACATGCATTTTAGGTTCTTCAGCTTCTATAAATTTGGGTAGTTGTGGTAATATTATTAAGCAGAAGACAGCAATTTTCTGCATCTGCTATTTTGCTTTTAGCATGGACCTTCTGGCTAGAAAAACCCTCTTCCCAAAAACAATTAAACCACTTGTTTTGTACTTCATTTCTCTGTATCAGATGACCACTCTCTTCCTCTTGACATTTTCTTTGCAAACTCATTCATGTGTGTCCACTCTAAGACTGAATACTCCCTGTATTTCTTCCTGTGCACATGGCTTTCCCTCAGACATACACCAGAGGAAACTCGATGAAGACATGGCCAGAGAGGCTTCATATCTCATTTGTAAACAGTCATACTCCACTCTTGCTGCCAAACACTCATGACTCGTAAGCTTTGTCAGGTTTATCAGGCTAGCTTTAGTTTATTTTAAATGTCTAAAGGGCTTATCATACTTCCCACATACTCCCGTGCATACTCGGATAAGGATTCTACACACACATTTCTATTCATACTTTTATTTAATGCTGCTGTTTTCCAAGCTTTATGGTACATGCACAGGGCTTTTTGTTGAGTGGACAGTCTGGATAATAATCCAATAACATTTTTACATTTTTTTAATATAACACTTTCCCACAGAGTTATAGTTTGTTTTTGTTTTTTTTTAAATTAAATATAGCATTACTTTCTGCTTGATAAGAAAATATTGATGAATGCCAGATTGACAACTGCAGTGGGTTTTAAGAAGAAATTTGTTCTTGCTTTTCCTTCATCTAGCATGTGTTTGCATATGTCCACAGTCAGCCTGTTGCGATCCTCATGTGCACCATCTTTTAATAACTGCAGGATTGTGACAGCAGAGTCCGGGGTAAATCGACAGATGACTCTAAGCCCCCACCAGTCCCACCGCCCCCCCCCCCCCTCCCTCCCTCCTCTAGCAGTCTGCCAATGTATTCCAAACCCCTGCCCTGCTTTAAACACAGCTAAATCCTTCTGTGCTTGTATTAAAAGTGACCCATTTTGTCAGGCAGTACTCCTACTGAGATATGCGGTATAACCAATGTAATTAAGCAGTCTCAAGACAGAGGTAAGGAGTAAGATTTTATGATGCATAAGGCCATATATCTTTGTTAGAAGAAGTGGAATGTACATGCCACTGAGTTCTTCCTCCATCTAAATGGACTTCTAAACTACTTAAAAAGTTGGTGGTTGTATTTATAAACACACTCCTGCTTTGGGTGAATATTGCAGTTTTTCAGCCTTTGTTTTTTTGTTTTCACCATTTGCAACACATTGTTAGCAGGGTATTGAGCTAATTGTGATATTAGACATGTGGAGCTGGTGGGAAAGTGAGCATGCTGCATCCTAGATTTGGTTTTAAATCTCCAGTGAACCAGGACTGACACTGTTCATGTTGACCAGACAGCAGCAATTCAAGCATGCTGCTGGTCTTGCTGTACAGTTATTTGGAGCTCTGACCCAACATATTCCCAGCTACATGTCAACAGCTGATGAGTTACAAAATTGTCTAGTGTTGGTGTCCAGCGTGACAATGTCTGATGGATCTGAAAACAACACTGTGTCATTTGGTAAAACAATCACATCTGCGCATGCTTGTGTAAATAGGTTTTTAATGCTCCATTTACTTTCTCTCTTGGCTGCTTCACAGTGTCAGCTGACAGAGTTGATGCCTTTACTTACCTAGAAGGGGAGTCATCACATGAAGAATCTGATTTATGCTGCTGTCTGCTAAGCCCCTAGCATGAGTAGCAGCACCAGCAAAGCTGTGGCATGCTATTGCTAATAGTTTCATAGCCTTCTCTTTCCATATAAATTAATCGAGTAATGTTAATGGATTGGATTCTTGGGGCACTTTCCCAAGGGCTCTGTACATTAGCTAATCGGTCCTCAGTTAGGCCTTTATTTTCCATTAGAAAGGACAAACCGTACATCGCATCATTAGGCAGTTTACACTACACTACCCGCCTTCTTTTCAGTATGAGACTTAGAACCACACAGACTAGAGAACAACAAGACCTCAGAGCTCAGAACACGTTAAAACTTTGAAGCCAAGCATTGAGTTCAATTTGAAGCTTTTCATGGCTGAGCCAAAGGGTAGGGCATCATTGTTTTATTCAAGGGACTAGTTAGGTTCAGTAGCTGGCTATCTGTACCAAATTGTCCAAACAAGTTATTCCACAATTGGCACCAAATGGTCAGTTTATGCATTTGACTTTTGATTCATGTGTCCTTCTTTTGCTAAACTAACCACCAGCATATTGATAAAACTCTTGCAGAGACCTTTTACCATAGTATCATGTTACCTATAATGTTAATGTATAACTGGCAAGAAACTGTTTTCTTGACCTTTGGCTGCTAAAGGAAAAAAAACAAGGTTCCTGTATTTATTTTTATTTTGTACACTATGTGGCTATAAATGCAATCACTGTCTACCTTTTGTGATTTTTGTAGACTGTACTGTATGTCTTCGTTTTAAAAATTAAAGTATTGCAGTCACATGTCTGTGGAATTTGTTTCGTTCAGTAATTTTCCTAACATGTTTTTAGTTAACTGGCTGAATAGTTAGCAAATCATTAAACACTGGAGACTATGACCTTCTTAGTTGAAGCTGAAAGAGCAGAACCTCCTCTTTTTGGTGTGCTTTTAGTTAGTTCATTCTGTTTGTCTTGTATAACTTATAAGCTGTCAACATCTGCTTGTGTGCCATTCCTTGTGTTCCTTCAACTTATTATAAATGTTTAGTTTTTTTTTTTTTTTTTCCCCTTCTCTTCAATCCGGCTCACTTCCTAGGCCATATGAGCTTCGACTGGTTAGCTTTTTACTGGAAGCAGAACTACTAGTAGTTGGGAGGGGAAGATGGGACCAGGAACAAGTGACTGTAGGAGAAAGAAGAGGAGTAATTAGGAGTGGCCTGGTGGTATATTCTGTGGTCAGAATGGCAGAGGAATGAGGGGTGTAAAACCCATTAAGAATCTGGGCGGTACTGTCTCAGAAAAAACAACCAAGGTTAATGAATTCAATACCTATATATGACTAGTCACACACATCCTTCACATTTCACCCTTTTACACTTATTTTCTGCTAGTGCCCACAAACAACCCTTTATAAAGGACTGCGGGATGACTTGATGATTAGTCCTCATCTGACAGTGCCCAACAAATGGGTCATTTGGTGCTTGTTTTCCTCCTATGTGGTCAGGAGATTGTGGCGCCGCTTTTGGCTTTCAGCACTCCAAACCACAGCCCTCTCTCCTTTAAAATGCAAGATGCTGGAAGACATTTGGAGCACAGTTGCAACAAGTCATGTTTTTTTTTCTGTATTTTGGCCCAATAAAATGGTCTACTGCTCCTTTATTGTAGTATTTTAATGGTGATTAGTTTTGGGGTTTTTGGGGGGGTGCTCACACAATATGCTGCCTTATTGTCAGTTATGTGTTAGTGGAGTGCAGAGGAGAAAGAATTGCTGGCATCTCAAACTGCTCACTTCCTGTTTTTCACTCTGCAAAGTTCCACAGAGGCCTCTGACCATAAAAGGGATATGCTTTGGCTGACAGTGACATGTATCATATGATTTTATGAGTAGTGCAACATGTTTCAATTGAGCATTTAAGAGGAGCTATGCTGTAAAAGACTCATTATTGTAGTCCAAACTAAGCCTGGAGATTAATCCCGTTTTGTTTTTCTTCTACAGGACAATAAAGAGGAAGTGGTCATTCAACACAAGTGCAAGCCACTGGACTTGGCAGTAATATCAGGCTTCACACCGTAGGAGGGAATGAAACCGGATGGGGTTAACATGGAAACTACAGAGTCCACTGAAGCTGCAGATGTAGCAGAGCCGTCCTCATTGCAGGGCAACCTAACAGAGCAAGTGTCATCACAACCAGAGGCAGCTGCAAGTGATGCAGCACCTGGGGCTGTTCCGAAGGCCGGTGTCAAGCCAGTGGGCACAGACTCCAAAGTCAAACCAAAATCTGTTGCAAATAAAACACAGCCCACAGTCAAATCTGCAGGGGCTTCTGGATGCAGCTCACAACCAGGTAATTCCTCACACCGCACAGCAAATGGTGTTAACTCTGACAAGTTTTCTACACATGCAGTCAAGAAAACTGTAACAACAGCAGCAGCAAAAGCGTCAGCGGTGGGAGCTGTACCTAAACAACCAGTGGGTACTGCAGCATCCTCCAACCCAGTCAAGAACCAAACTAGAGTGCCTGACAAGAAACCTGCTGGACCTACCAGGATTACCTCTGCTGCTGCTGCCACAGTATCAAAGGGTACCAAACCAACAACGGTGAATGGCATCTCTAAGAAGAGACCAGCAGCTGAGGCTGTTAATGTAGCTAGACCCAAAACCACAGGTGAGTCTGAATGAGAAATAAAACAGATAAATTTGTCTGGCATGATTCAGTGTTTGAAATCTTCTTTTCTTTTCTTATTTATTTTTTGTAGGTGCTACCAGCAGACCAGTTGCTTCCACTGCCCCCAAACCCAGCACTTCAACCACAAAAACTGGCACTGCTGCTGTTCCAAAGACCACAAGGTATGTATATCTATTGCAAACAGACAACACGTGCTGAAAAGCATTTGGCCCTAGTGGCACTGTCATATGAACATTTGACTAACAATGTGCTGTGGAAAACCCCTTTATTTTATGCTGTTTTTTCTGTCTTCTCCTTTCCATTGTGGTCTTTGAGCCATTGCTGAGTCAAATTCTGCTTCAGGATTGCAAGTCATGTTAGCAGAAAGAACCTGAGACAGAGGGCCTTAGCAGAGTCATTGATGCTGAAGAACTGCCGCTTTGTTCCAAACAGACCTCATGGCAGAAACTAGTCCTAGCTCCCCCAGGGCATAAGGCTATTGACCTGGATCCTAATCCCTCTAATACTGGGCCCCTGGTTTAGAGGCGGTGGTCTAGCTAGATTGAACTTAGTAAACTTAGTGCTGCTCTCAGTTTGATCATTGTAAAATATCATGGTTGGTCATTTACCATTGTTTCAACAAGAATAAGCTTTTGCTAGTAAAGCTCTTTTGACTTGAGAGAGATTCAAGATATCTAGCCTTTTTAATCTGTTATCAACCATAGTATGAGCTGCAACACATTTTTAAAATGTTTGTTTTAAATGAAAAGCAGGCAGCAAATTTTGAGTAGGTTTAGGGGGTCAGGGAAAAAATGTAAATAATAAAAACAGTGAGTAAACTGGCAGTGTGCATGGCACTGGAGCAAGAATGAGAGGATGGCTATGCTATAGGTTGTTGGTTGTCATTGACTGGTGTGAAATGTATATAAAGTAGCAATAGTGGTTTATTCACTTTTGATCTATTTATTTTTTTCCCCCTTAAATCAACTTATTGCGTAGTCTGTAAAATGTTAGATAGTAGTAAATTAATAAAATTGCCCATCCATGCCCCGTGGCCCTTTTGGGGCCCCCCCCCCCCCCCGACCAGCTGTCAAAAACAACACATTTTATGTTAATATAAAAGAATATGGCAGTAAATCTCTGCATTGGAGAAACTGCAGCCAGAGAACAGTTGTAGTTTTTGCTTGACTTAAACGACTAATCATCTCGGCACTAAACGTTGCAGTCGCTGTGAAGATGATTTTCATAGCAGTTTGTGTTGGATGTAACGACCTTTTGTGCGTGCTCAGTGGGTCAAATCGTTGCCTCTCATTTTTGATGATCACTTTTGCATGGTGTTTAAAAATATGGCTACATGTAGACTGTGGAGTGATGGACCTCAGGCTAGGAGTGGTTAATGTCTGGAAGGGTGTGTACACGGAGAAGTTCATTCACTGAATTAAATCAGATGAAGCATTATGTGTAGGAGTCTGATTACAGTAGCATGTGACTTGTTCTCAGAACATCAGGCACTCGCTTCTCAGCTTGAGAAGTCTGCCCTTGTGACACACGGTGCATATTGGTTTTTGGATCACAGTAGTACTAACCTCCCATAGCAACACATGCAATAGTATCCAATGGTGTTAAAGGGTTTGGTAACCCCAATAAGATTGTGTTTGCAATACAATACACCAACCCTTTCTTTCTTATCATGTTTCTGAGACAAGAAGTCATTATTGCTTAAATTGTCACAAAGGAACATGTGTTAACATTTTCTGTGGATATATATCTCATCTCTGTTATGGTAAACAGGATAGATAAGGCCAGCACAAACAACTAGCTGCTAAAATTGAGCAGCACACACTGCCTGTAGCTAATGGAATGACCAGCCCCTCTCATGAAGTATTAATGTTAATTGGCACCAAGGGAGGAATAAAAGCTTTTGTGGTTTTAAAAAAATGTTATATTTTTACAAGAACCTTATTCGTGAAGGGCACATGAGATTTGGTGACTGCATTCAGCTATGAGCTTGTACATTATCAAAATGAGATTTGATAGAGGCAGGGAAATGCTTTGTCTGTTTTAGTACACAGTAATGAAGCAGGAATATTTTCAGCTGTGTGCTGACATTTGTTTTCTGTAGTTTTTAGTGTGGAACAAAGAAGTGTGTTGACGTACAGTCTGTCTGAATGACAGGAGGATGCTTGTGTCATAGTGGTTGATGAGAGCGCTTTAACTTAAAGTCAAAAGTAAAATCAGCCACCTGCTTGTCCTCCAGCGATATGTCCTTGCATTGACTGAGGAATTGGTCTGTATCCACCCTACCCCCTCTTTTCACTCTCGCTCGTCGTCTTCTTCATCCCTCTTATGCTGCCTGTACTTGTATAGCGCTGGGCATTAGGCCAGGATCTGCTCAAGCCTTCCTTGCAGTCTATCTCCTGTTCCCAGCTCATTCATCATTCAGCTGCATACACAGATTGTAGCATTCGGAGTGTAGTTGTGTAACATGAGTGACAGTGATTATGCTTTCGTGTCGCTGGATAATTTGTAATTAATATTCAAATGGTCACAATTGGAAATAGACTAAATTGCAAATGGATAGTATTTTTGTCTCAGACACACAATTTTCCTTTATCCAAAAAATGAATAGGGTGTAATGTGGAATATTTCACCAAAACGATTGCATTGGTTTTCAAAGAACGACTTTCATTCTCTCATTTTGTTTTCCTTTGTTTCCTCTTTCTATTTCTTATGCATTGTCCCATTGAAAATGAATCTTTCATTTCTCCCCAACAGTCTTGTCAGGGTGCAGGATTACTGCCCTGAAAATAAAGAGTCATGGCATCCATCACAGTGACAGTGGGTGTCTCATAAGAGCCAGCACTGTCTAGCCTGCTATTGCTAGGCTGCAAACACTCTACACTGAGCTGCTTTAGGGCTCCACTCTTTATTGCCAAGGAGATAATTGTAGCTCCACACAGTCCTGAGGAACATGTGCTGTTCTGAGGAAGGAGTAAAGTAGCTGGTTTTGGACAGCCTAGAGGTAACAAGGTATTGTTGGCTGAAAAAACTTAGAAAAATCAACTGGACTAGGTTTTTCAGAACTGATGAAGCCTCTTGGATGAGAGGTGAAATGTCTTTGACCTAAAAACCTAGTTCATTTGATTTTTCTAAGTTTTTTTTTTTTCCAGTTTACTGTGTCCTGGATGACTGAGAATATGCACAGACAAAGGTATTGTTGGGATGCTTCAATTTGTTGTTTCAGAGTGGGGGCCCTAGAGTGATGAGGGTAAAAAGGTCAAAGACAAAAGAATTCTTACTTGGTTTTTATTTTATTAGTAGGCTGAGCTTAGTGCAACAGCTATAAATTGGATCCCCCAGCCAAGCCA